CCTCTGAGCACTGCTTTTGATGTATCCTATAGGTTTTGGCATACCATGTGCTAATTTTCATTTGCCTCAATATGTTTTTAAAAATTTCTTCCTTATATTCTTTCTCGACCAGCTTATTCTGGAGTCTGTTGTTAAATTTCATATATTTGTATGGTTTCCCAAGTTTCTCTTGTTATTGACTCCTAGTTTTTTTCATTGTATTCTGAGATTATAATTGATATTGTTTTGATTTTTAAAAATTTGCTGAAACTTGTGTCCTAACATGTTATATTCTGGAAAATGTTCAATTATTTTATGAGAAGAATGTCCATTCTGTGGCTGTTTGTTCAAATGTTCTGTAAATGCCTATGAGGTCCATTTGGTCTAATGTGCAATTTAACTCCAATGCTACCTTTCTTAATTTTCTTCTAGATTATGTATCTAATGCTGAGAGTGGAATGTTGAGGTCTCAAACTATTATTATTAGAGTTTATTACTCCCTTTAGTTTTAATAACATTTGCTTTACATATTTGGCATTTTTTGTTTTGGGTGTATATATGTTTAGAATTATATCTTCTTGTTGAATTGATCTCTTTATTATTATATTGTAATCTTCTTTGTCTTTCTTTGCTGTTTTGACTTAAAGTCTGTATCTTAGATAGGTGTAGCTACTTCTGCTCACTTTTTTGTTTTGTTTTTGCATGGAACATATATTTTTTTTCTATACTTCTATTCTACATGGATCTTTACAGGTGATATAACTTTCTTGTAGGCAGCATATTTGGGACATTAAAAATACTCATTCAGCTGCTCTATGTATTTTAAGTACAAAGTTTAGTCCACTTACATTCAAGGTTATTAATATGTAAGGGCTTCTTCCTGTCATCTTACTAATTAGTTTTATATTGTTTTGTATACCCTTAGTTTCTTTCTTTTTGTTTCTCAGTGTGGCTTGGTGGTTTTCTGTGGTGATAACATTTGAGATTTTTCTCATCACTAATTTTGTTTTTGCTCTATCGGTGGTTTTTATACTTTTGTGCATTTCTATGATTGTAGATATTGTCCTTTGCTTCCAGATAAAGGAATCCCTTAAACATTTATTGTCGGACCAGTCGAGTGGTGATGAATTCTCTCAGCTTTTGCTTTTCTGAAAAAGATTTCATGTCTCCTTCATTTATGAATGATGACTTTGCTGGGTGTAGTACACTTGGCTGACAGGATTTTTTTTTTTTTTTATAACACTGAATATATCCCATTCTGCTCTGGCCTCTAAGGTTTCTGCTGAGAATTCTACAGTTATATACTGGGAGTTCCCTTACAAGTGACTGGATACTTTTTTCTTACTGTTGTGCAGTTTTCTGTTTGTTTTGACTTTGAAAGTTTGACTATAATGTGCTATAGAGAAGAACTTTTTACATTGTATTTGTTTGAGGATCTCTGAACTTTTTGTTTCTGGTTGTCTAAATCTCTTCCTAGACTTGCAATGTTTTCATCCATTATTTTCTTAAATAGGTTTTTACCCTTTTTGTTTTCCTTTACCCTTCTGGGACAAAAAATTCAAATATTTAATCACTTTATGGTTTTCTACATGTGACATAGACTATTTTCATGCTTTTTATTTACTTTTGAAATTTTTTGTTTGTCCATGGTATTTTCAAACACTTGTCTTCAAGTTCTGAAATTCTTTCTTTTGCTTCATCTAATATATTTTGTAGTTTTTCAAGTGTCTTTTTTGTTTCATTTAATGAATTCTTTAGTTCCAGAATTTCTGTTTTTTTAATGCTATCTACCTTTTTGCAAAATTTCTCATTCACATTTGAATTATTGTTATGATTTATTTGTATTGTTTTTATTTTTTCTCACTAAGCTTCTTTAATTTTATTTTTGAATTCTTTATCCAAGGTTTTTTTTTTTAATTAGAATATTTTGCTGGAGAATTATTGTGCTCCTTTGTAGCTGTCATACTTTCTTGCTTTTTAAATGTTTATTGTGTTTTAATGTTCATATCTGTGCATCTGTTGTAACAGTCACTTCTTTTAACTGTTTGAGTTGGTTTTGTGGGGGGGGGGTTTAAGATGGTGTCAATTGTGTTTGTTGGTTAAGACACTTTGGCTTTCATTCTGAGTGGCTGAAATAATGAAATCTGTTAAATTTCTTTTGATGAAAAAAATATCAGTGGTGTCTTTGATTTTTTTAGAGGTTTAGAGTGTGGTTGTTCATGGAGGCTGGGGTTAAGTTTGGCTGGGGATGGGGCTGCTGATTGAGACCATCCTTAGGCCCCATTGGTGGGCTAAGCATGCCTGTCCTTGGGCCCCAGAGTGGCATATGTTGGCCCCAGTATTAGCAGGTCCAAGTGGGCTGATTCCTGGGCATCCAGGTGGCTTGCTAGGATGCCCAGGTGCTGGTAGCAGTGGTAGACTAGGTGGTAGGTTGGTTCTCAGGCCCATTGACAGCAAGTATAGCCCAGGTGGTCCATGCTGGTGTAGATGGTGGCTGTGACAGCTGGGCATTCCACTTGCCAGGTATACAGGAGGCTCATGGAGGTGGGTATCCACTGTGGTTGTAATCTGCAAGTGGTGGACTTGGCTAAGTGGTTCACAGGATGACATGCTCTGGCACTGAGTTGCGGGAGGGAGTAGCCTGGCCAAGCACATTTATATTCAGGCACCTTGGTGGTGTATGCAACTAATTGCTGTGGTCGGGAGGGGCCTACCATAGACATAAGGCAAAATGTTCTGATGGTAGCAGCAGCAGCTGCAAGTCATCCCTGCTGCTGAGAAGGGTGGAATTTCTTTCAATAGCACAGCTGTTTGTAGGCAGCTGGGAAGCACATAATTTGCTTATGTTTCAGCACCTGATGCAGCAGCCTGCTGTGGGCAGAGGAGTTTGTCCTTAGGGCACTTGAATATGCATAATAGGTTTCCTGCTGTGGGCAGCAGGGTGTTTACCAATGGCTTGTACTTTAGCTCTAGGTGCAGCAGGCAGCTGCAGTGGTGGCTGTAGTCAGAATGTCAATAAAGATCCGGAGATGTAAGGATTCAGGGGATGTTGGGCCCCTGGGCAAGATACAGTCTAATGGAGGCTGGGCTTTCATTTTGGTGCTTTGCCATAGCTACTTGAGGATCATGAGGTATATGGGACTCAGCATGAGATTCCTCTCTGAAGCAATGCCTTTTCACAGTCTCCAGGAAGCTTCCTATTTCAGTCTCAGGACCCATGAGGATCTAGGATTTTTCCTGTGGCTAGGATGTAGGAGTTCATGGTGAGAGTGTAGACTGCTGGGGATCACTCACTTACCTTTTCCCCTAACGAGACTTTTGCAGCTCCCAGAAAAATCCAGCCAAATAGGCTACTTTGTTTTGTGGAAGAGACAAATATCAGATGTCTCTAGTCAGCCATACTGAAGCCCATATTTAAGACATTTAAAAAATTATATTTATTTACTTATTTTTATTGTACTTTAAGTTCTGGGTACATGTGCAGAATGTACAGATTTTTTACATAGGTATGCATGTGCCATGGTGGTTTGCTGCATACATCACCCCATCATCTACATTAGGTATTTCTCCTAATGCTATCCCTCCCCAAACCCCCCCACCCCCTGCTATCCCTCTCCTAGCTTCTCACCCCCAGATAGGCCCCAGTGTGTGATGTTCCCTTCCCTGTGCCCATGTGTTCTGATTGTTTTGCAATCTAACCATCTGACAAAAGGCTAATATCCAGAATCTATAAAGAACTTAAACAAATTTACAAGAAAAAAAACCCATCAAAAAGTGGGCAAAGGAATGAACAGATGCTTCTCAAAAGAAGACATTTATGCAGCCAACAAACATGAAAAAAATCTCATCATCACTGGTCATTAGAGAAGAGGTTTTTTAAACAAAATATACATATATAAATATAGAATTTAAACTATATATATATATATATATACACACACACCTGTGTATTATTTTACAAATAAATTAAGATGTATTGTTCTTAAACTCTTGGACTTTGAGGATAAACATCAAGCCTTCCAGACTGATAAACCAAGTCACCTATAAGGTAAGCAACAGGATGATAGTGACTTTTCTGTTTGTTTTGTTTTTTCAATGAATTATTAAAGCATAGAAATATGCTTGACATATGGTAAACACTCAATAAAACAGTTGTTGAATTAATTAAAATGACAGGAGAAAATAAAGCTGACATCTGATTTCTCCACAATAGTTGATACAAGAAAAATTATACAGTATCAGTACTACCTTGAGATGAAAATCAAACATGAACCAATTACAGTAACATGCAGACATTCTCAGCATAAAAGACCTCACAAAATGTAGAACACATGTGATCTTCTTGAAGTAACTACTTTACAATAAATTTATCCAATTAGGGGATGAATCAAATAATGATTCAGAATAAATATCTCAGGAATAACAAAGACATTGTAAAAGGACAAGAATTAAACTTCAAATTCATTTAAATATTGGACTAAAATTTGTCAACCATGAAAATTATTACAAAAAAATTGAATGCTATAAATCCAGATAAAACAAAAATTATGCAGCCTGGCGGACATGGTGAAACCCTGTCTCTACTAAAAATACAAAAATTAGCTGGGCGTGGTGGTGCATGGCTGTAATCCCATCTACTTGGAAAGCTGAGGCAAGAGAATTGTTTTTACCTGGGAGGTGGAGATTACAGTGAGCTGAGATTGTGCCCCTGCACTCCAGCCTGGACAACAGAGCAAGACTCTGTCTCAAAAGTAAAATAAAAATTTGAAATAACTAATTAAAAATGGGAAATAGATGGAACAAAGATAAGAAGACATGAGCAAATATTAAATACCTTCATTTTTATTTCTAAAATTGTAATACATTTAAAAAAAATATTGTCTGTAATCTTTAATGGTCTTCATGTGTATGGACTTTTTTTTTTAACAGTAAATGTAGAATAACTTTTGTGAACATGTTTAATTTAAATAATTCCCTTCATTTCACTTCAGGATCCTTTGTTTCTATTGAAATCAGGTATTGTGCTCACTTCGGCAGCACATATACTAAATTTGGAATGACACAGAGTAGTATGGCCCCTGTGCAAGGATGACACGCAAATTCATGAAGTGTTCCATATTTTTATGGGATCTAATTAAACTCCAGAGTTTCTGTACAGCAAAAGAAACAATCATTAGAGTGAACCAGCAACCAACTGAATGGGGAAAAAATTTTGCAATCTACCCACTTACAAAGGGCTAATACCCAAAATCTACAAAGAACTAAAACAGATTTACAAGAAAAAAACCAACAAAACCATTCAAAAGTGGGCAAAGTATATGAACAGACACTTCTCAAAAAAGACATATATGAGGAAAACAAGTATATGAAAACATGCTAATCATCACTGGTCATTAGAGAAATGCAAATCAAAACCACATTGAGATGCCATCTCATGCCAGTTAGACTGGTGATGATTAAAAAATCTAGAGACAACCAATGCTGGAGAGTATGTGGAGAAATAGAAACAGTTACACTGTTGGTGGGAGTGTAAATTAGTTCAACCATTGTGCAAGACAGTGTGGTGATTCCTGAAGGATCTAGAAATAGAAATTCCATTTGACCAAGCAATCCCATTACTTGGTATATACCCAAAGGATTATAAATTGTTCTGTTATAAAGACACATGCACACATATGTTCATTGTGGCACTGTTTATAATAGCAAAGACTTGGAACCAACCCAAATGTCCATTGATGATAGACTGGACAAGGAAAATGTGGCACATATACACCACGGAATACTATGCAGCCATAAAAAAGAATGAGTTTGTGTCTTTTGTAGGGACATGGATGAATCTGGAAACCATCATTCTCAGCAAACTGACACAAGAACAGAACAACACCACATGTTTTCACTCATAGGCGAGTGTTGAACAATGAGAACACACAGACAGAGGGAGGGAAGTTATCACACACTAGGGTCTGTTGGGGAGGCTAGGGGAGGGACAGTGGGGAGTGGGGAGGATGGGGAGGGATTACATTGGGAGAAATTCCTGATGTAGGTGACAGGGGAATGGAGGCAGCAAACCACTTTGCCATGTATGTACATATGCAGCAATCCTGGATGATCTGCACATGTACCCCAGAACCTAAAGTATTAAAAAAAAAAAAACAAAGGCAGAAACAAAATTGGGTATTATATTTTCATTTTTTAAAAATCTACTTTTTTTTGTAATAGTCTTTTTTGGATCATCTACATTGCTATATAGCCATCTATGGAGGCATAGTGTATAAAGCTGTTTTAAATGATTTTTTAAAGTAATTCTGGATTAATAGTTGATAACAAGATTTTACAGTTCTGAGTTTTATAGGTCAGATTTTTATTTATTTATTTTTTAATTTTCATTATTTATTTATTTTAAGACAGAGTTTCTCTCTGTTGCCCAGGCTGGAGTGCAGTGGTGCATTCTCAGCTCACTGCAACCTCTGCCTCTTGGAGTCAAGCAATTCTCTCGCCTCAGCCTCACAAGTAGCTGGGATTACAGGTGGGTGTCACCTGTAACTTTTTTATTTTTTTTATTTTTGGTGGAGACGCCCAGATAACTTTTTTTTATTTTTATTTTTTTATTTTTTGTGGAGACTGGGTTTTGCCATGTTGGCCAGGCTGGTCTCAAACTCCTGGCCTAAGGTTATCTGCCTGCCTTGGCCTCCCAAAGTGCTGGGATTACAGGCATGAGCCACCACACCTGGCCACAAAAATATTAATACAAAATATCATTAGGGGCTAATTATGAACAGCTATATGCCAATAAATTGGAAAACCTAAAAAAAAGGGATAAATTTCTGGACACATGCAGTGCACCAAGATTGGACAAAGAAATTTTAAAATACTGAAAATGCCAATGATGAGGAATGAGATTGAAGCACTAACAAAAGGCTCATCAAAGAAAAGCCCAGGACCTGATAGCTTCACTGCTGGATTCTACCACATTTAAAGAAGAACTAATAGCATTTATACACAAACTATTTTGAAATTAGAAGAGAGCAGAATGCTTCCAAAATTATTTCATGAAGCTAGCATTATTCTGATACCAACACCAGAGAGGGACACATCAAAGAAAGAAAACTACATGCCAATATCCATGATGATTATAGAGGCAAAAATTATCAGCCAAACACTACAAACCAAATTCAACACATTAACAAGATCATTTACCATATTCAAACTGGATTTAACCCAGGGGTTCAAGGATAGTTGGCCATACATCATTCGATAAATGTGATATATTACATTAACAGAACCAATGACAAAAACCACATGATTATTTCAATAGATGCTAAAAACAATTGGAAGTCAGTATCTCATCATGAAAAAACAAACAAACAAAAACCCTCTAAATAAACTCTGTATAAGAAGAACATACCTTGGCCAGGCACAGTGGCTCACACCTGTAGTTCCAGCACTTTGGGAGGCTGAGACAGATGGATCACTTGAGCCCAGGAGTTTGAGAAGGAACATACCTCAGAAAAATGAAGGCCATATATAACAAATCCATAGTTAAGATAATATTGAATGGGGAAACATTAAAAGCTTTTTCTCTAAGATATGAACAAAATAAGAATGTGCATTTACACCAATTTTATTCAACACAGTACTGGAAGTTTTAGCCAGAGTCATTAGGCAAGAGAAAGAAATAAAGGGTATTCAAATGGAAAAGAAAGTACTTAAATTATTCTTATTCACAGATGACATGATGTTATATTTAGAGAAACCTAAAGACTCCACCCAAAAAAACTGTTAGAACTGATAAATGAATTCGATAAAGTTTCAGGAGACCAAATCAGCATACAAAAATCAGTGGACTTTATCTATATTCCAGCAGTGTACAGTCTGAAAATAAATCAAGAAAGCAATCCCATTTACAATAGTTTAAAAAAAAAAGACTTAGAAATAAATTTAGCTAGAAAACTGAAGAATCACTATAAGGAAAACTATATAACATCGATAAAAGAAATAGAAGATGGTACAAAAAGGGAAAGATATTCTATAGCCATGGATTGAGAATTAATGATGTTAAAATGTCAACATTATCCAATGCAACCTATAGATTCAATCCTATTAAAATACCAATGACATTCTTCACAGAAATAGAATAAACAATCCTAAAATATCTAACACAAAAAGACCCAAATAGCCAAAGTGATCCTGAGCAAAATAAACTAATGTGGAGGCATCGCACTACAAAATGTTCTACAAAGCCCTAGTAACCAAAATAGCATAGTCCTGTCATATAAGCAGGTACATAGATCAGTGGAATAGAATAGAGAACTGAGAAATAAATCCACATATTTACAACTTATTTTTGATAAAGGTGCTGAGAATATCTAGTGGGGATAGACAGTGTCTTCAATAAAATGTGCTGGGGAAACTATATAACCATATGCAAATGCAACTAGATGCCTATCTCTCACTATATACAAAAATAAAATCTAAGTAAATTAAAGGCCTAAAGATAACACCTGACATTATGAAATTATTAGAAGAAAGTTTTGGAGAAACACTTCGGGATATTAGTCTGGGGTAAGACTTTTGGATAAGACCTCAAAAATCACTGTCAACAAAAGCAAAAATAGACAAATGGAATTACATCAAGCTACTAACCTTCTGCGCAGCATAGAAAATAATCAACACAATGGCAGGATATCCTAGAAATTGGGAGAAAATATTTGCTAACTATTTATTTGACAAGGGTTTAATAATGAGTATATATGAAACACAAGCAACCCAATGTCAAAAACAACATCAACAACAACAACAACAAACAAACTGATTGAAAAATGGGCAAAAGACATTTCTTAAAAGACATACAAATGGCCAACTGGTATATGAGAAAATGTTTAACATTACTAATATTCAGCAAAATGGAAATGTAAAACATGATGACATCATCACCTCAGCTAAAGTGGCTGTTATCAAATAGACAAAAAATAACAGATATCAGTAAGGATGCAGAGAAATAGGTATGCATGTACACTGTTTTAGTGAGTGTAAATTAATTAGTACAGTACTATGGAAAATAGTATGCAGATTTTTTTCCAAAAAGTTAAAAGACAATACAATCTGACCCAGCAATCCTGCTGCTGGGTACATATCCAAACAAAAGAAAATCAGTGCAAAAGGAGTACAAAGAAATACTTGTACTCCCTTATTTATTACAGTAGTATTTATAATAGTCAAGATAAAGAATCAACACAAGTATCCATCAACAGACGATTGAATAAAGAAAATGTATACATACACAAAGGAATATTATTCAGCCATAAAAATAAAATCCTGCAATTTGCAGTAATATGGATGGATCTAGAAGTCATTATATTAAGTGAAATAAACCAGGGACAGAAAGACAAATATCATATGTTTTCATGGGGAGCTAAAAAAAAAAGCCTCATGGAGGTAGAGAGTAGAATGGTGATTATGAGTATGCAAAGGGTATGGGGGAGGGTGATATGGAGAAAGATTGATTAATGAGTTCAAAAATATAATTAGATAGATTTAGTTCTACAGTTTGATAATACCATAGGATAACTAACTACAGTTAACAATGATTTGTTTTATATTACAAAATGCTAGAAGAATAGATTAGGAATATTCCCAACGCAAAGCAATGATACATGTTTAAAGTGATGGTTATCCCAATTACTTTGATTTGATTATCATGCGTTGTATGCATGTATCAAAATATTACATGTTCCCCATTACTATGTACAACTATTATATATTATTTTTTAAAATTTAAAAGATTGTTCATTTTCTTTTATCCTCCAATGTTGCCATTGAAAATTCATGACGCTCTAATTTCTGATCTCTTGAATGTAGTCTCTCTCTCTGCAACTCCTAACTCCTTTTTCTTCCCATTCTTTTTGTTTTACTTTCTAGACTATGTCCTTGTCTTTACTTTCTAACATATCTATTGATGTTAAAGTGTCAATAATCATACTTTTAATTTTCATAACTTAAAGATGTGTGAAGTGTACTTAACATTTCCTCCAACATGCAGTAGTCTTATTTCTCCTGCATGCTTTCTTTTACAACTAAAAGTTCTCAACATAACACAACAAACAAGCACAGAAGACTCCGAGAAGTGAAAAAAAAAAGGCAGAAAGCTTAAGGACCTCAGAACTTAAGTAACAGCATGATGGTGAGTTCCTTTTTTTTTTTTATTGCATCCCATATATACTGATCAGAACACTGTCAGAATCTTCAACTCAGAACTGCCAATAGGTACATGCCAAAAAATTCCAAGAAAAGTCTATTCCCCCTTGCCAAAGACAGGAAGAGGACAGCCTCAAAACAGAAAACCATTCTTGCAATAGCTACCTTGGTTTGACTTGCCTTGTTTAACCCTAGTCAAACACCAAGAAAATACTGCAAATCCTTCTCCCCAAGGTCTCAGTGGGGCAAATCCATGAGTTGATCTTCTACTTCATGTTTACCCTTAGCCCCCACCCTGCGGAAGCAGATGGCAGTAGTATTATTTTCCCACTGGAAAGTGCAAGGTCAAGTAGAGAGCTGACCCTGGTGAAAACAAGAAGTGCTCCAATTCCCAAGCCAGGGTAATATCAACAGAGCTCAGCTGATAGCTGAACCTCCACCAGCACCCGGAAGCAACTGAGCAAGGTGGTTCCAGTCAAGACTAGTCACCACTAGTCTTCACCCTACCACCCAGTGTCAAGGGTACCCAGTGGGAAGCTGAGCTTCCAATCCCACCCAGCATCAAGGAGGTAGAACAAGGTGGTGAGAAATGGGGTTAGTTGTCATTATGTTTTGCACCTGTCCCTGCCTTCCTGTAAGTGGGACACAGCAAAGAGCTTTGCTTCCACCCCTACCTGCAGCTCACAACAAAGCATTGTGAGTTGGCTCTCCTCTTTTGCTCTTCCTTGGGGCAGCAGAGCCCACTATGGAGCAGATATCACACATTTACTTGGAATTTAAAAGGTGATGTTAGTTTTTGCCTCACTTTTACCAGAAGATATCAGCAAGGTAGAGGTGGGATTTGAACTGCAATGATAGTGTGAATCAGTGCTACAGAAACTTACCAGGTTGATGTTGGCAGAGCTAGCAGGAAAGCTGAATAAACACACCCACCCAGCCCAGCTGATACACCTTTACCAAGGAACAACTGCTAAAAAAGATTGTTATGATGCAGAGTCCCATAATATATACAGAATGTCCTGCATACAGTAAAAATGTATTTGTTATACCAAGAACCAGGAAACTCACAAAAAGAATGAGAAAAGATAAACAACAGATAACAATACATAGATGAATCATGATTGAGTTATCCAAGAGTGTTTTATTTTTGTTTGTTTAGATGGAGTCTCACTCTGTTGCCAGGCTGGAGTGCATTGGTGCAATCTCGGCTTACTGCAACTTCCGCCTCCCAGGTTCAAGTGATTCTCCTGCCTCAGCCTCCCGAGTAGCTGGGACTACAGGCATGTGCCTCCATGTCCTGCTAATTTTTGTATTTTAGTAGAGACAGGGTTTCACCATATTGGCCATGATGGTCTCAATCTCTTGACCGTGATCTGCCCGCCTCGGCCTCCCAAAGTGCTGGGATTACAGATGTGAGCCACCACACCCAGTCCCCAAAAAGAGTTTTAAAGTAGTTATAACAGTGCTTAAACAACCAATTATAAATTTTCTAGAAACAAATGAAAAAATAAAAAATCTCAGTGAAAAAGTAGAAGCTACTAAAAATGAAAAGTATACAACTGAAAATACAATAACTGAAATAACAGATTGCTGGATGGCAATTCTATTAGTAGAATCTATATGTCACAGGACAGAATTAGTAAACTTGAGGATAGATTGACAGAGAGAAAATAGACTTAAATGTAAACTGTCTCAGGAACATGTGAAATAATAACAAAACAGCTAAAGTGTTTTATCAGGGTCCTAGAAAGAAAGAAGAGAGAGTAAGACTAAAAATAAATAGAAGATATAATGGCTAAAGTAAAATATATAAACCTACAGATAAAGAAGCTCAGTGAATCTCAATAGGAGAACCTAAATAAATCTCAACCAAGACATAATTAAACTTCTGATAACCTAAAGACAAATTTAAAAAAACAAACAAACTAAGAGAAAGATGGTACATTACTTATATGATAACCTAAATTCCAATAACAGTATATTTCTCACCTGAAACCACAGAGGACAGAAGAAAGTGGTAAACTATTCTTCAAGTACTAGTAGAAAAGAACTGCCAATGGTGAATCCTATATCCAGAAAAAATATCCTTCATGAATTATGCTGAAATAAAAACCTTGCTCAGCTGTAGTAAAACTAAGAATTTGTCACTAGTTTACATATTTTTAAAGAAAGGCTAAAAGAAGTACTCTGAACAAATTGAAATGGTAAAAGAAAAGGGTTTGGAACTTAAGAAAGAAAGTAACATTGGAAAGAATACATGTAGTGGTAAATATAATGGAATTTTCTACTTCTTATGAGATTCTAAAACATAATTGATGTTTGATGCAAAAATTATAAGACCATCTGAAATATCCATGTACAAAGGTCTTCACTGGAGAATTCTACCTAGCATTTCTTTTTTTATGCTTTTTAAAATTATACTTTTAAGTACGTGTGCAGAATATGCAGGTTTGTTACATAGGTATACATGTGCCATCATCTATAAACATTAGGTATTTCTCCTAATGCTATCCTTCCCCTGTGCCCCTCACCCCCACTGACAGGCCGTGGTGTGTGATGTGTTCTCATTGTTCAACTCCCACTTATGAGTGAGAACATGTGGTATTTGGTTTTCTGTTCTTGTGTTAGTTTGCTGAGAATGATGGTTTCCAGCTTCATCCATTCTCTGCAAAGGACATGAACTCATCCGTTTTTATGGATATATAGTGTTCCATTTCAAAAGGAGTTACGAGTAATTTTACATGCCCCTTTCCAGAAAATGCAAGATGACAAAATACTTCCCAAATGGTTTCTTGTTTTTTTCCTCTCCTCTATTAACTTTAATCAGGTTTTCAACATGCAGCCAAGAATGAAACTTTGACATTAAGCCATAAATTCAACACAGGCAAGCATTGTCAATTTTATGGAGTTGCCACACGGAGATAACACAAGAGAGCTGGGTATTTTCTTTTTTCTGCCTTTCTTTACTAAAGAGCAATAAAAAATATGTGGAAGATTTATTCATACCTCAAATTTGTTTACCATAAACCTCTTGAAATTATTGCATTTTACTTTTGCTTGGTTTATGGCAAACAAAAAAAAATCAACTTAGTTCTTCAAGTATATATTTTTTTTAATGGAGTCTTGCTCTGTTGCCCAGGCTGGAATGCAGTGGCACAATCTCGGCTCATTGCAATCTCCGCCTCCCGGGTTCAAGTGATTCTCATGCCTGAGCCTCCTGAGTAGCTGGGATCACAGGCGTGCATCACCATGCCCGGCTAATTTTTGTATTATTAGTAGAGACAGGGATTCACCATGTTGGCTAGGCTGGTCTTGAACTCCTGACCTCAAATGATCCGCCTGCCTCAGCCTCCCAAAGTGCTGGGATTACAGGCATGAGCCACTGCACCTGGCTTCAATTTGATTGTTAAATGCAGATTTTTAAAGATCATGGTGATGACAGAATTGGTACACATTTCATCATCATATACATGCTTATGAAAATAGACATTTAACACTAAAAAGGGCTTATATTTAACATGGATCATTTGCCATGTGGGCAAACACTTCTGGTTCCTTCAAAGCCAGGAACTTTATATGGTTCCAGAGGGACTCCCTGGCAGATTCTGTTGATTACTCATTAAACAGTCGAAACATGTATAGATTTTATTTATCTTATAAAGCTTACCCATAGCAAAAGAGACACGAAAATGATGTAAATACTATGGGCAAGATTATAGTTCTTGGAAAAACTAAATGTCATTATATTTTTGGTAAACTTTTCCTTCTAAGCATGCTTTAAAAGCTGAAAATAGTTTTGTGCTGGAAGGCAGCAAAACTTAACATGTATGTCTTCTCATCCATGGAAGTACATGGCATTATGCTGCACTGTAAAATCTGCAACCCTTCCCAAGAGGCAGTTCAAACAACAACATGGACACCTTTGCCGCAGTAGAGATAATGTTTTCACTCTCACCTCTCTGAAATGTGATCTCTGCTCCAAGGACAGCTGAGTTTTTTTTTCTACTTTACTCATGCAATAACACTTTATACATTCTTCCAACAGCCAAGGAGGCTATGACAGGCAGCTTCTATACCTGCCCATTAAGCCACAATAATAAACTATTGTTCACCCTGTATAAAAATGGATTACATGATCTTCCTAAGAAGTCTACACCTACAGTTCTCTGAGCTAATCAATGGAAAAGATGATCAATTCTGACTAACCAAGAGTATATTTGTTCTATTTTCCTTCCTATTCCTCTTCCAAATAATCATATATAGGTACTTAAAGCTGGAAATATGTGGCACTCTTCTTTAAACATCCAATCAGGATGACAGTAGAAGCTTCTTTCTTCTGGTGTAAGAGTACCATTGAATGTATTGCTAAGCTTGAAGCAGAGGCTAAGTGGTTTGATGGGGATGTTTTTCAGGAGAGAGGTGAACATCTCATTAGTTTTGTGGTTGTTGTGGTTCAAGTTCTTAGAAGGTTGAAAATTTTGCTAGGTTCTTCTCCATCTCAGCGTATTGTTCTTTAAGCCTCTCCATGGCTTTTCTGTGCTCTTCATCCACTTCGGCCCGTTTGTTGGGCTGCTCCTTCATGAAGTCATCCCAGTCATCCCACTGGAGCATGTGCTGTTTCTCACTAGCTATTAAGTGGTCACTATGAATATCTCTGGAGAACTTGGCTGAGATTGTCCCACATTTTGTCCCTACATCTGGGAAGAGTATGTTCATTTGTTTCATGGATTATATTCTTCAAATTTTCAAGAACAGGCATTTCTCAAAGACCATGTTTCTCTTCAAATTCTTTTACAAAATAACGAGTTTCTCCTTGAATAACTGGTCTGTGATCCAAAAGCCTTGAATGAATTTCTCCAAGATCCTTGATAATGAGGTGCACAGAGCCCGCGGTTCCCAGGGAGTCCCTCTTGTTGCTGCCTCAGCCCAGGGTGGCCTCACAACCCACAGAGGTCTCTGTCCCTCCACCACTCATCCCGACCAGTTCCCCCCAAATAGTTTCTATAAGACTAGTATTACCTTGTGTATTAGTCCGTTTCCATAGTCCATTTCCACACTGCTAAAAAGAAATGACCTAGATTGGGTAATTTATAAAGGAAAGAGGTTTAGTCATCTCACAGTTCAGCATATCTAGGCAGGCCTCAGGAAACTCACTATCATGGTGAAAGGGGAAACAGTCGTGTCTTGCATGATGGCAGAAAAGAGGGAAGAGGAATGCCAACCACTTATAAAACCATCATCAAATCTTATGAGAACCCACTCACTATCAAGGGAACAGCATGGAGGAAACCACCCTCATGATCTAACCACCCTTTACCAAATCCCTCCCTCAACAAATGAAGATTACAGATTTGGGTGGGGACAGAGAAACAAACCATATCATTTTCCCCTGGCCCCTCCCAAATCTCATGCTCTTTTCACATTTTAAAACCAACCATGCCTTTCCAATAGTCCTCCAAAGTCTTAATTCATTTCAGTATTAACATGAAAGTCCAAGTCCAAAGTCTCATTTAAGACAAGGCAAGTTCCTTCTGCCTCTGAGCTTATAAAATCAAAAGCAAGTTAGTTACTTCCAAGATACTATGGGGGTACAGGCATTGGGTAAATGTTTCATTCCAAATGGGAGAAATTTGCTAAAACAAAGGGGCCACAGGCCCCATGCAAGTCTGAAATCTTGGTAGGGCAGTCATTAAATCTTCATGCTCCAAAATAATTTTTTTTACTCCATGTCTCACATCCAGGGCACACTGATGCAAAGGGTGAGCCCCCAAGACCTTGGGCAGCTTTGCCTTTGTAGCTTTGCTGGGTTCAGCCCCTGCAGCTGCTCCCATGGGCTGGTGTTGAGTGCCTGCATCTTTTCCAGGTGCACAGTGCAAACTGTTCTAGGATCTACCATTCTGGGATCTGGAGGATGGTGGCCCTCTTCTCACACCTCCACTAGGCAGTGCCCCAGTGGGGATTCTGTGAGGGGGTTTTATCCTCACATTTCCTTTCTGCACTCTACCTTAGCAGAGGTACTTCATGAGGACTCTGCCCTGACAGCAAACTTCTACCTGGACATCTAGGCATTTTCATACATCCTCTGAACTCTAGGTGAAGATTCCCAACTTCAATTCTTGACTTCTGTGCACCTGCAGGTCTGATGCCATGTGGGAGCCACCAAGGCATGGGGCTTGCACCCTCTGAAGCAGCAGCCATCACTGTACCTTCCGGTTTAGCCATAACTGGAGCTGGAGGGTCTGCCATGAAGATCTCTGACATGTCCTGGAGATATTTTCTTCATTGTCTTGGTGATTAACATTTGACTCCACATTACTTATGCAAATTTCTGTAGCTGACTTGAATTTCTTGCCAGAAAATGGATTTTTCTTTTTTACCACATGGTCAGGCTGCACATTTTCCAAACTTTTACACTCTCACCTCTTGAATGCTTTGCTGCTTAGAATTTCTTCTGCCAGATACCCTAAATTATCTCTCTCAAGTTCAACATTTCACAGATTTCTAGGGCAGGGGCACAATGCCACCAGTCTCTTTGCTAAAGCATAGCAAGTGTGATATTTACTCCAGTTCCCAATAAGCTTCTCATCTCCATCTGAGACCACCTCAGCCTGGACTTTATTGTCCACATAACTATCAGTACTTTGGTCAAAGCCAATCAACAAATCTCTAGGAAGTTCCAAACTTTCCCACATCTTCCTGTCTTCTTCTGAGCCCCCAAAACTCTTCCCATTACCCAGTTCCAAAGTTGCTTCCACCTTTTCAGGTTATCTTTATAGCAACTGGTACTAATTTACCATATTAGTCCATTTTTACACTGCAAAAAACAATCCTGATACTGGGTAATTTATAAAGGAAAGAGGTTTAATTGACTCACTGTTTCTCATGGCTGAAAGGCCTCAAGAAACTTACAATCATAGCAGAAGGGCAAGCATGCATACCTTACATGGTTTCAGGAGAGAGAAAGTGTGTGGAGGACGTGCCAAACCCTTATAAGACCATCAGATCTCGTGAGATCTCAGTCACTATCATGAGAACAGCATGGGGTAAACTTTCCCTATGACACATTCACCTCTCACCTGGTCCCTCCCTTGACACATGTGGATTACAGTTTGAGACGTGATTTGAGTGGTGACGCAGAACCAAACCTTATCACCGTGATACCCAAATTAGGCAAAGATGTTTGCTTAACTGCAGATCAGTATCTCTCATAAATAAAAAATTCTCTAGAAAATACTAGCAAACTGAATACAGAAACATAAAAGATAATGATATACCTCGACTGTTAAGATGTATTCCAGGTATGTAAGGCTATTCAGCATTTCAAAATTGATGTAATTTACCATATCAACAAGATAAAGATGAAATCATACCAATTGAAGCATAAAATTTTTAGATAATATTCAACTTTCATTATGATTTAAAAAACCTCTCACCAGGTGCGGTGGCTCATGCCTGTAATCCCAGCACTTTGGGAGGCCAAGATGGGCAAATCATGAGGTCAAAAAATTGAGACCATCCTGGCTAACATGGTGAAACCCTGTCTCTACTAAAAATACAAAAATTAGCTGGGTGTGGTGGCGTGCACCTGTAGTCCCAGCTACTCGGGAGGCTGAGGCAGGAGAATTGCTTGAACTCGGGAGGTGGAGGTTGCAGTGAGCTGAGATGGTACCACTGCACTCCAGCCTGGCAACAGAGCGAGACTCCGTATAAAAAAAAAATTAATTAATTAATTTTAAAAAACTCTCTCAGTAACTTAGGAATAAAAGGGAAATTCCTTGACACAAAGGGCAGACACAAAAATCCTACAGGTACCAACATACTCAACAGTGAAAGACTAAATGTTTTCCCTTGGCTTTAGGGAATAAGGCAAGGATGTTTGCTCATGTCACTCCTATTCAACATAATACAGGGAAGTCTAGTCAATGCAGTAAGGCAATAAAAAGAAATGAATGGAATACATATGAAAAGAAAAGTAAAGAAGTCACTGCAGAGGACAATTTTGTATACGAAAAATCCCAATGAACAGAAAAAAATACTGCTATAACAAGTGAGTTGGCAAGGTTGCAGGATATAATACATAAGACATGAACATAAAAATTTATTTATATCTGCTAACAATAAACATGTGAAAACAAAAATATAAAAGAGACAATATTTTACTTGTTATATCCTGAAATTTTGTTTGGCTTTTTAATTATTTCTGTTTATTAGCATTCTGTTGCAAGTCATTGTTGCCATACATTTCTTTAATTTTTTTTTTTTTTTTGAGAGAGGGTCTTGCTAAGTTGCCCAGGTTGATCTCAAACTCCTGAACTTAAGCAATCCTCCTACCTGAGACTCTTGAGTAGCTGGGATTACAAGCACATGACACCATGCCCAACTTTTTACTTATTGTCAACGAAGGTGATATATACAACAGGGAAATAGATGAAAAGGAGAATGGGAGTGAATGGGGCAGCCAGGCAGGCAGCTTCAGGCCTCTGGAGGGGTGGAACAGGAAGAGATAATAGATGCCTCCTGGTTTAGGAGCCTGAACAAGTAGAGAAGTGACGTATCTCCTGAGGTAGTAGGGACTCAGTTCAAACCCCCTTAGGACCACCTCTTATGTAAGGCACTGTGCCAAGGGAGAATGTTGGGGAACGGGGGAGAGTGGAGGAGATCATGGGAGACAGAGAGGTGGAGGTCAGCAAAGGACTGGGGTAGGTGTTCTTTACAGGCCCAGTGCCCTTCTGCATGACACCCTCAGCCACTCTTGCCGACCTCAGTCCTGCCAGGAGCAGACATGTTCCAGTGCCCCAAAATAACAGTGAATGCTGCCCCAGCACTCTCCTCCTTTGGCACCTGCTTCTATGCTATCCACCAGGTGGCTGAGGCAGGAAGCTCTGCGTTATAAGCTACAAGGGGGGACACTGCCTCCCCAGGAAAGCAAGAACACTCCATTTCCTTTCTCTGGCTATCACGCCACGTGGTGTTGGATTCCGACAGAACCATGGGCCTTTTTGTTTTCACATGTTTATTGTTAGTATGACTTGCAACAGAATGCTAATAAACAGAAATAATTAAAAAGCCAAAGAAAATTTCAGGATATAACAAGTACAATATTGTCTCTTTTATATTTTTGTTTTCACATGTTTATTGTTAGTTTATATAAACATGTCACCTGCTTTCACATGCTTGATGCCCTGGGGGTGTTTGGACCAGTCTTGCAGGAGGCTGACCACCAGGGGTTCTTCCATCATCATGTGGCTAACCTTAAGATCCAGTGTCCCGTGGAGCCCCAGAGTGGGAGCTGAGGAGGGGCTCTCCACCCGGGGAAGGCCTCATTCTGCCAATTCCCTGTCTTGGGTGAGTCCTTATTGTCTGGGCCCCTGAGCTTGGTGTGGGAAAAGAGCTGCAGGACGAAGCCAACAGGGAAGCTGCCACCAGTGAGGTATCAGATCTCGGCTAGTGCTGCAAAAGTCTCCATGAATGAGTCTGGAAGTGGGGGCTCTGGGTCAGGGTCCAGGTTGTTTTTGTTTGTTTTGATGGATTTTTTTCCTCATTTCCCAGGCTGAAGTGCAATGGTGTGATCTCAGCTCACTGCAACTTCTGCCTCCCAGGTTCAAGTGATTCTCCTGCCTCCACTTCTAAAGTAGCAGGGATTACAGGCATGTGCCACCATGACCAGCTAATTTTGTATTTTTAGTAGAGATGGGGTTTCTCCATGTTGGTCAGGCTTGTCTTGAACTCCCAATTTCAGGTGATCTGCCCGCCTCAGCATCCCAAAGTGCTGAGATTACACGCGTGAGCCACCACTCCTGGCCATGGTCCAGGTCTTTGGTCATGGTCTGCCTCTTTTCTTTCTGGCTTCCTCGCCCCTGGGGGCTTCCATCTCTGACCACAGGGCTTCTTATTTCCTGGCTCTGTGGCAAGGGCAGCAAGAAGCTTGAGGAGACAGAATCCCCTGGGTTGGCTCCTTTAAGGGAGGGATGGGTTATTCTCAGAGTCCAGGAGAATGACAATTTCAGCTGGCATTCTGCCAGAGTCTGGGTTAGAGTCTGGGTCTAGTTGGGCATCCTGGCCTGAGTCTGAGTTGGGTGTGGACGACTGCTCAGCTCTGACGTCTTGCAAGAGAGCCACCCCTTCACTCCAGGTCTCCAGGATGTTGTTCTTCTTGGAAGGACTCAAGTCCACACTGTGAGGATGCTGCTCCAGGATGTGCTAGTAAGCCACGTCAGCTGAGGGTGCCAGGATCTCAGTGCCACACACCATGCACAGTGCAGGCCCACTTCATCTTGGGCTGCTGCCCACCAGAAACTCCTGGTCCCAAGACACATGCTGCTTGGGCTCCTCACAGTCATTGCTGCCCACCTCCAGAGGGCTGGGTCTAGGCAGTCAGGTCTTCTCTTGTTGGGTCACTCTTAACATCAACTAAACCTGTGGAATTAGGGCCACAACCATGGCATCCTTCTCATTCTCCCCTTCCTCACATTTGAGCATCACCTCAAGCAGTCAGGTGCAGTGCCCTCAGCCTTTAGGGCCATGGTGTGGCTAGGGGTGATGGGGGCAGCTGAAGGATGGGCATGCAGACCTCAGCTTACAGCCTGGCAGCCACCTTCCACCTCCACCAGGAGAGCACCAGGCTGCTGCCCTCCCCACCACTCACCGCTCTCCAGCCAGGACAGTAATGGGAGTATCTGGGCCTCCCCAAGACCTCAGTGCCTCAGGAGCCCAAGCCGGGAGGGTTCAATCCTCTTTAATTATTTAACATGATTTACTTAGCTTTTTTTTTTTTTTTTTAACATGATGCTGGTTTAATAAATAATATGTCACGTATAGTGGTTGATATAAAGCCTTTGTCTAGTAAGTCCAACATCTGGGCTTTCACAAAATCAGTTTCTGTTGACTGCTTCTTCTTTTTTTTTTTTTTTTTTTTTCTATTCATGGGTAATGCTTTTCTGTTTTTGGCTTTTTTTTTTGCATATCTCATTATTCTTCTTAAAAATATAGATATTTAAGATCATTCTAAGCAATTCTGGATTCTGATTAGCCGTGTTCAGAGGGTGCTGTTTTTGTTGCCACTGCTAGTTTCTTTTTTTTATTCAGTGAATTACCTGAGCTAGTTCATACAGAGATTGTTTTCCCTGCAGTGCATAACCACTAAACCCCACTCAATAAATTTTAAATTAAAAAAAAAAAACTCTGTGGCCTCCTGCGGGTTCTTTCTGAGTCAGAATACATTAGTGGTCAGCTAATGCTTAATCAAAAGTTTCCATAACTGCCAAGAATCAGTCAGGGTGCTACCCTTTTTTGAGACCTGTATATGTAGGGCATATTTTCCAAGTTCAATTAGTTTGCAAATAAGCCTCAGTTTTCACTTCCTCCTGATCAACGACCTCAGTCATCCAAGAATGAGTCAGAAACAAGAGCTTCTTGAGCATTCATAAGCACCTGAACAGCCCTGAATATGCACATAACCTTCCATATTCTCAGAAATACACTGCGGACTTCAAAGCTTTTAATTTTTTTCCTTTCTCCTTTTTTTTTGAGACAGGATCTTTCTCTGTCACTCAGGCTGGAGTGCAGTGGTTTGATCATAGCTCACTGCAGTCCTGAAACACTGGGCTCAAGAGATCCTTCCATGTTAGTCTCCAAAGTAGCTGGGACCACAAGCACACACCAACATGTCTGGCTAATTTTTAAAAACTTTTTGTAGGAATGAGGTCTCATGTTGCCCAGGCTGGTCTTCAACTCCTGAGCTCACACAATCCTCCTGCTTTGGGCTGCCAAAGTGCTGGCATTACAGGTGTGAGTCACTGTACCCGCACTTGCAAAATTAATTTTTAAATATTAAAGTGTATATCAAAATAAAATATTTCATATGTGCCATATATATAAATAAATATAAAGTAGTACATATATATAGATATATATACATATTTATACTTCAAGTTCTGGGGTACATGTGCAGAACACGCAAGTTTATCCCATAGTTAAACACATGCCATAGTGGTTTGCTGCATCCATCACCTTGTTATCTGCATTAGGTATTTCTCCTAATGCTATTCCACCCCCAGCCCCCTGCCCCCGAAAGGACCTGGTGTGTGATGTTCCCTTCCCTGTGTCCATGTGTTCTCATTATTCAGCTCCCACTTATGAGTGAGAACATGTGGTGTTTGGTTTTCTGTTCTTGTGTTAGTTTGCTGAAAATGATGGTTTCCAGCTTCATCCATGTCCCTGCAAAAGACATAAACTCATCCCATACTTTTTATGAGAAGTGTATGGCCACAGCAGTTGCTGCTGATGCTCTAGGTGAAGAATGGAAGTGTTTTGTGGTCTGAATCAGTGGTGAGAATGACAAACAAGGTTTCCCCATGAAGCAGGGTGTCTTGACCCATGGCCGTGTCTGCCTGGTACTGATTAAGGGGTATTCCTGTTACAGACCAAGGAGAACTAGAGAAAGAAAGAGAAAATCACTTCTTAGTTACATTGTGGATATCAATCTGGGTGTTCTCAACTTGGTTATTGTAAAAAAAAAAAAAAGGAGAGAAGGATATTCCTGGACTGACTGATACTATGGTGTATTGTCCCCTGGGGCCCAAGAGAGCTAGCAGAATCCACAAACTTTTCAATCTCTCTAAAGAAGATGATGTCCACCAGTACGCTGTAAGAAAGACTTTAAACTAAGAAAATAAGAAACCTAGGACCAAAGCACCCAAGATTCAGCGTCTTGTTACTCCACATGTCCCGCAGCACAAGTGGCAGCGTATTTGCTCTAAAGAAGCAGCATACTAAGGCAAATAAGGAAGAAGCTGCAGAATATGCTAAACTTTTGGCCAAGAGAATGAAGGAGGCAAAAGAGAAGTGCCAGGAACAAATTGTGAAAAGATGCAGACTTTCCTCTTTGCAAGCTTCTACTTCTAAGTCTGATTCCAGTCAGAAATAAGATTTGAAGAACAAATGAGATCGGACTCAAAAAAATTGAAATTATATCAAATATTTTCTCTGACCACAATGAAATAAAACAGAAATCAATAACAAGAAAATTTTGAAAACTACAAACACATGGAAATCAAACTATAGGCTCCTAAATTATTAGTTGATCAATGAAGAAATTATAAAAAAAAATGGAAAAAAATTATTGAAATAAACCATAATGGAAACACAACATACCAAACATATAGGACACAACAAAAACAATAGTAAGAGGGAAGTCTATAGCTATAAACCCTTACATCAAAAAAAAAACTTCAAACAAAAACTGATAAATTTAAAGAACTAGAAAAGCAAGAGCAAACCAAACCCATCATTAGTAGAAGAAAAGAAATAATAAACATCAGAGTAATAAATGAAATTGAATCAGAAAATACAAAAGATCAACAAAACAAAAAGTTGGTTTTTTGAAAAGATAAATAAAATTGACAAAGCTTTATCTAGACTAAGAAAAAATAGAGAAAGACCAAAATAAATAAAATCAGGGATGAAGAAGACATTACAATCAATATTGCAGAAATTGAAAGGTTATTAAGAGTTACTATGAGCAACTACATGCCAACAAATTGGATAACCTAGAAGGAATGAACGAATTCCTAGACACGTACAACCTACCAAGATTGAATCAGAGAGAATTCCAAAACCTGAACAGACCAATAACAAGTAACAAGATCAAAATCATAATAAAAAGTCTCCTAGCAAAGCAAAGCCTACAACCAATGGTTTCACTGCTGAAAGAACTAAACCAATCCTACTAAAACTATTCTGAAAAACGGAGGAGAAGGGAATACTCCCAAACTCATTCTATGAGGTCAGTATTAACCAGATACCAAAATCAGGCACCAAGACACACCACTAAATAAATAAATAAATCTATCTATCTGTCTATCTATGTATCTATCATCTATCTATCTATCTATCTACAGGCCCATATTTCTGATGAGCATTGATCCAAAAATCCTCAACAAAATGCTAGGAAACCAAATTCAACAACACATTAAACAGATAGTTTATCATGACCAAGTGGGATTTATCCCAGGGATGCAAGGGTGGTTCAGTGTACACAAATCAATCTATGTGATGCATCATATCAACAGAATGCAGGACAAAAACCATATGATCATTTCAATTAATACTGAAAGAGCATTTAATAAAATTCAGCATCCCTTCATAACACAAACCTTCAAAAAATTGGATATAGAAGAAACATACCTCAACATAATAAAAGCCGTATACAGTGGTACCACAGGTAGTATACTGAATGGAGAAAAAAACTGAAAGCCTTTCCTCTAAGATCTGTAAAAGGACAAGGATGACCCCATTCAACACTGTTATTCAACATAGTACTGGAAGTCCTATCTAGGGCAATCAGAGAAGACAAAGAAATAAACACATCCAAATTGGAAATAAGGAGGTCAAATTATTCTTGTTTACAGACATTATCTTATATTTGGAACTACATAAATATGCCAGCAAAAAACCATTAGAACTGATAAATTCAGTAAAGTTGCAGGATACAAAATCAACATACAAAAATCAATAGCATTTCCATATGCCAATGACAAAGAATCTGAAAAAGAAATCAAGAAATAATTTCATTTACAATAGCTACAAATAAAATTAAATACCTAGGAATTAACCAAAGAAGTGAAAGATCTCTATCATGAAAACTATAAAACTGATGCAAGAAATTGAAGAGGACACAAAGAAATGGAAAGATATTCTATGTCCATGGATTGGAAGAATCAATATTGTCAAAATGTCCATACTACCCAAAGCAGTCTACAGATTTAATGCAATCCCTATGAGAATGCCAGTGATGTTCTCCAACAGAAATAGAAAAAAAAAAAAATCCTAAAACTTACATAAAACCACAGAAGATCCAGAAAAGCCACAGCTATCCTGAGCAAAAAGAGCAAAACTGGAGGAATTACATTACCTGACTTCAAATTATACTACAGAGGTATAGTAACCACAACAACATAGTATTGGCATAAAAATAGACATATAGATGAGCTGGGTATCTCAGTTGGAAATGCAGAAATCACACCTTCTGCATTGATCTCGCTAGGAGCTTCAGACCAGAGCTGTTCCTATTCAGCCACATTATCAACCACCTCACAAAGTTTTGTATTAATTTCTCATTTCTCAGGTTGTCCACTGAATTTTTATCTTGTTTCTTGCAGCAATGAAGTGACACAATGTTGAATTTACCTAATTGTTTGCCACCACCTAATTGCTTTTGACAGTGAGTTAGGTGAGAAGCATTTTTGTAGAGATCCAAATCAAGTTAGGTGACTCTGGGGACAGCACAACTGCCAGTTTACCATCTTATGATAGTGGGCGTGGGGGTATGGTGTGGTGAATAGGAACAGTTGTAAGTTACAATGCCAAGGGTTCCATCATTTTCAGCAAGGTTTAATTGTTCCTTGTTGAATACATGCTTTTTAATTTGTTGTATGCTTTTGTTTAATTTCAGCACATCTGAAATGGCATTTCATCTCAACAATGTTGGTTGCCTATTTGGGGAAAAGTTTTTGCTAATTTCTTT